TCTATCTATCTATCTATCTATCTATCTATCTATCTATCTATCTATCTATCTATCTATCTATCTATCTATCTATCTATCTATCTATCTATCTATCTCTATCTATCTATCTATCTATCTCTATCTATCTATCTATCTATCTATCTATCTATCTATCTATCTATCTATCTATCTATCTATCTATCTATCTATCTATCTATCTATCTATCTATCTATCTATCTATCTCTATCTATCTATCTATCTATCTATCTATCTATCTATCTATCTATCTATCTATCTATCTATCTATCTATCTATCTATCTATCTATCTATCTATCTATCTATCTATCTATCTATCTATCTATCTATCTATCTATCTATCTATCTATCTATCTATCTATCTATCTACTCTATCTATCTATCTATCTATCTATCTATCTATCTATCTATCTCTCTATCTATCTATCTATCTATCTATCTATCTCTATCTATCTATCTATCTATCTATCTATCTATCTATCTATCTATCTATCTATCTACATCTATCTATCTATCTATCTATCTATCTATCTATCTATCTATCTATCTATCTATCTATCTATCTATCTATCTATCTCTCTATCTATCTATCTATCTATCTATCTACTATCTATCTATCTATCTATCTATCTATCTATCTATCTATCTATCTATCTATCTATCTATCTATCTATCTATCTATCTATCTATCTATCTATCTATCTATCTATCTATCTATCTATCTACTACTATCTATCTATCTATCTATCTATCTATCTATCTCTATCTATCTATCTATCTATCTATCTATCTATCTATCTATCTATCTATCTATCTCTATCTATCTATCTATCTATCTATCTATCTATCTATCTATCTATCTATCCTATCTATCTATCTATCTATCTATCTATCTATCTATCTATCTATCTATCTATCTCTATCTATCTATCTTTATCTATCTATCTATCTATCTATCTATCTATCTATCTATCTATCTATCTATCTATCTATCTATCTATCTATCTATCTATCTATCTATCTATCTATCTCTATCTATCTATCTATCTATCTATCTATCTATCTATCTATCTATCTAATCTATCTATCTATCTATCTATCTATCTATCTATCTATCTATCTATCTATCTATCTATCTATCTATCTATCTATCTATCTATCTATCTATCTATCTATCTATCTATTCTATCTATCTATCTAATCTATCTATCTATCTATCTATCTATCTATCTATCTATCTATCTATCTATCTATCTATCTATCTATCTACTATCTATCTATCTATCTATCTACTATCTCTATCTATCTATCTATCTATCTATCTGTCTATCTATCTATCTATCTATCTATCTATCTATCTATCTATCTATCTATCTATCTATCTATCTATCTATCTATCAGTAAAATTCCTCGAATTTTGTGAAATTTTAAACCACTGTGCTCAACTTGTGCAATTCAGTCGATTATTAAATAATATATTTAATTCCCACAACATTTATGACATCAACATCAACTCCCTACTAAACAAGCAAAGTCAACAACCACAAAGGAAAAAACAAAGCATACTAAAAAACAAAATTTAAATCTCTACTAAACAAACTATTTAACTAGTTAGTAAAAGTGTTTGCAGTCATATTTAAATATAATAATTTTCTATTTTCCATTTCTCTATAAATTTCTTTTTAGGTTCTTTAACCTCATGACAACCGTAAAATAAATAATAATAATAAAAACCAAACCAACAACAAGAAATAAAACTTTAGGAATTTTATACAACAAATCAAGGTTGAATTTGTAATCGAAACCAAACTTTTGAAAACTGACATAGTTAAAGTAAAGAAAAAACAAATTATTTTACAACAAATTAATAGACAAACAGACAAACAATCAGACAGTCAATAAAACGACGAAATATTTAGAACACCAAGCAGGGAGTTAAGCAGGCAGGCACAGCGTCAAAACAACATTATGTCAACAAGAAATCATCCACAAATGGCACCGCCACCACCACCCAAACCCACGAAAGCTCCTTATGCAAATGGCAGCACTACTAATGGCACTTTGGCGAATGGTACTACCATCAATAATGGCAATTCAGCTTATTTGCCAAACGATTCAATACACAACAGCCAGAAGCTAAACGGACGTAGTCCTTGTCACACGCCACCGCGTACAGATCGTGAACAAGTTGTAATGACACCCAAAGGTAAAACCGCTAATAGTACAGTCATTTTGATTGAACGCAAACTGGTCGATGAAGTGAGTGATCGTGTTCATGTGGCGGGTGGTGATCATACGGGTATTATTATCAATAAGGATACAGTGAGTGGACAAAAATCTCAGTCGCTACCAGCACAATTATCACTGGAATTTCGTGTATTTTTGGTGAGCGCCAATACGGGCAAACATTCACAGGAATCACGTACTTTGAGATTTTGGTTTAGAGATTGGTTGAAGAATGATGATGAACAGGCTCATATAGCTCAGGACTTTTTCAAGGAATTGGTTAGTCCTAAAGATTTTCCCAGAGGTGAGTAATAAGTATGTTTGATTAGATATTACTTTGTTTAAATGTTTTATTTAAAAGTGAAAAACATATAAATATAGAAAAAAATTGGTGAAACTTAAAGTTTTAGTGCAAGTTTTTGACGAAATGAATAATTTAAAGGAACGATTTTGGAGAAAATTAGAAAATGTAAAGATTTCCTTAAAAAGAATTAACTCAGAATTTCTGAATTAAACTGTTTTAGAACGAGTGCCAAATTATGTATAACAATTGCTAATAACATTAGAAGTCCTTCTCCGCAACAGTGTTGTGATTCAAAAGAACTTTAAAGGAGTAATTCGTTGAGGTATAGTTTTTATAAAATCATTTTCCATTAACATTTTTTGAAGGAAAAGCAAATTTGATTCAAAACTTTGGTATTAAACATTTCTAGAACGAGTGCCTGGTGATATGACTTTCAGACGTCGATTCTAAAAAACTTCTCAAGAGTATTCAGGGAACCAGTTCTTTAGCAAAATTTTTACATATATTGATTTTTCATAAATCTTATCAATTTCTAACTTAGAACATTGATGAAAGTCCGAGTTCTAGAACAATTTGAAACTAGATTCAAGGATAAAAACTTCGATCATTGATTTGGTTAAGTTTAGGTTGAAAGTAGGATTTATAAAACGTCAGATCAGAGAAAATTAACCTAGGTCGCTATTGGGCATGCTGTGCGCTTCTTTTCATGGAAAATATGTTGAAAACCCTTATATAGAGATATATGTATATTAAGAATAATCGTCCAATCTTCAGAACCTCAATTTCTTGAACGTATGTAGTTCCTTCAAATTTTGCAGACAGTAACCCTGAGCGATGTAATATCTGGAATAACATTGTTTACAAGATATTTGGTTCTAATTTCGCCGAGAACCACACGTTCACAAAGAAAGTGTTCCAACGTTTCACTAATGTAGGACTTATTCTTTATCAGAAAGCTTCTCTGGCTGCTCTCGTTGGGATCACTCCATAGGACTATGTATTGTTGTTCTACTCGATGTTCCAATATTTCCGACGGCCGTATGGGATTCTCTCTCCCATGTTATAAATTGAGAACTCGTTTCCTTGAACGGTTTTGTAGATTAACTTTCTCAAGCTCCCTTCGCTTTCTAGCAAGTATATATTTTCGTTGCCGATTACGCCCGAGTGGCATAATACCCATGTAAAGTTCTCTCATAGTCCAATACGGTTTAAAGAACTGACTCCAGAACTGTTAATGGAACGAATATAAACTTTAGTTATAAAAGTGACATTTGAATGGAAATCAAGTTCAGATTGAGTATAAGCTTTGAATATTCGACCAATTCACAATCAGTGTTGTAGCGTTGTAAGTCGTAAATTATGATTTTGAAGTTATCCTTAATATTTTAACTAAAATTTATTTATTAATCATTTAACAAACGTTTTTATTGATTTGTTTCTACAGATTATGTTGGTTTCATCAAAAAGATAATGAAATTGATGCAAAAAGGTTACGATGAGATTCAATCTTTGGAAATTGAGCTGCGCATTCTAGAGGAAACCGCAGAACCACCATCCAGACCACGTAAGTATTAAATTATAAATGAAATATTTTAAATATTATTAAGCAATTTAAACATGAAATAAAAACAAACGAAAAAAAACTAATTAAAATTATAAAAAATAAATTAATATAATTTAAAAAATGGTTTAAAATGCTTAAATTGCTTAATTATAATTTATAGAATTTTTTTATCTAAATTATTTCTTTTTTACCTTAAACAAAATTTGAAAATTTGTACTACAACTTTATTTCTACTATTACTACTGTAACTTCTACTCTTCTTTCAACAACTTGTACTACTACTACCTCCTCTTCTATCTACTTCTACTACCACTACTCTACACCAAACATACAAATATATTTCTTTGGTTTGATTACGTTTTTCTGTGAATTTGAATTTCCATTTGCAACAAAAATTGACTGCGAAATAAAAATACAAAACAAAACAAAATGTAAAGCTCGTGATGGTTACATTATTTATTGTTATGGTGATTGCAATCGTAAATATGAGGAGGCTTTAATGGCCCAAAAACAAACAGGTGATGGCGATGATTTAATGAAAGCAATATGGCTTGATATGTACCATGAGCAACTAACAATGCGGAAATGATAATGAAACTAAAACAAAATTCATACTAAATATAAATTTAGAATAGATTATACCAAACAACCAACTGACCATCTATTTATCCATTCAAACATCCATGTGCGCTGCTATAATAATAATAATATAATATTGTTCTATTTGTTTGTGGTTCGGCGTTCGAACTCTTTCTTACTCACCTCTTGGTCGTCGTACTACTATTACTACCTTCCACACCCACGCTTTATCCTCATCTAACATATTAATCATGCTGCGTCTGCTGCTTTAAAGCTTTGAAAACTTTTTTGCTTTTTGTTTTGAACAGGGTTTAAGTTTGATTTTTACATTTATATTGCCAAATATTTGCACAATATGTTAAACCACGTTTTAAGTTTCAATTTTATTTCCTTTGTCACAAAGTCATAACAAGTCATAATTAAGACTTGTTTACTTAATTACAACAAAAACTTCCAAAAAAAAAACTTCCCCATTAATTATCATTGTTTGTTAATTTTTTTGAGGGATTTTTCCCTCACTAATTTTTATTATTGTTTGTTGTTTTTACAACAATATCTAATAAGGTTTGATTGTCTTATTATTGTTTTATTTAGTCTAATTTGTTTTGAGTTTTTTTATTAATTATTCTTTTATTAGGCCATTGTTTTTAAAACTCGTGCAACGTGCGTGTTGTGGCACATAAAACTTTGTTTTGTTTAGTTCTCAGTAACAAAAGCATCAAAAAGTACTTAATTAACAAAAAATTGTAAAAAAAAAACTATATAAACATTTTTAATAAATTTATTTGTAAAAAATTGTGGTTTTTGTGTATATAAAATATTTTGGTGCTAAAACTTAATTTAGAAGTACTTTTTTGGTACTTAAATTTTCCTAAAATAGATTGGCAATGATTCTTTGTAATAAAACGTCTTCAAATTAGTATTTAGTACTTTTTCGAAAATAGTACTTATGAATTGGTACACTTTGAACATTAAGAACTTTTAAAAATTACAGTTCTAGTTTTTAAAAATAAACAAGTAGAATAGCATTTCTTACATTTAGAAAATAGTACTTTGTACTTTGAAAAAACAGCAGTTTCTAATTTTGTTTAAAATTATATTTAGTACTTTTATGGGAAAATTCAAATGACTAATTACATTTTTGAAATAGTAATAGTGCTTTTTGATAGTACATTTTTAAAATAGTACTTGGTACATAGAAATTTTATGAAATTAATACTTAGTACTTCATAAACATACGTTGGCGTAGGTTTAGTTCCACGATTCTAGGTTCAATCTTATAGAAAATTACCAACAATTTCCTTAGTTTCTCATTTCATCAGGACCCTGCAGGTTAAAATTTAAGTTTTTAAATTCCATTTGAAGAACGAAAAAGCACATAAAAGTTTTCTCTTGTAGATTCCCATTAAATAAAGAACGTTTATCTTAAATTTTTTATGTTTAATGTTCCACATTAAGGAAAATTCAGAAAGTACCAGTTGAAGAACCAAAAAGTATCAAATTCTCCCTTCTTATAGTTTCGCATTCACTCAGGACCCTAGCTTTAAACTATTATGTTTCTAGGTTCAAAAAGTACCATTTGAAGAATGATAAAGTCCCAAAAAGTTTCCGCTTGTATTTAATTTTATGTGTTTTGGTTCCACATTAATGAAGAACAGAAAAGTCCAAAAAATGTCCCTATTGCAGTTTTGTACTTTGTATGTTAAAAATTACAATACTGTAGTCTTAGTCCATAATTATCTATGTTTGTATGTTAATAAATAGAAAAATAACATCTTTAGGTAGTAAAAAGTACAGTTTTATCCCCTTAAAGGATTGATTTTTAAAAGAGTACAAAACAGTTGTCCGATAATTTTGAGAGTTAAGATAAGCTATAAAGGACCAAAAAGGTACCAAAATCAACTTTGTTTAACATTTTCACGCCCTAAATGTACGAATTTCATAAAAGTACCAGACTCCTATCTATTGTTTTTTGAAGTAGATGCAGAATTTTTACAAGTTCTTTATCCAGAAATCATACTGTAAAGTTTCGTGGAGTTTAACGTGTATAATTCCCTAAAAAATTATAGTGATTCATTTGTATAATAACGTAGAAATACTTTTCAAATAGCCTGCATAATATAGGACCATGTTGCAGATTATGTACTCCAGACATTTTAGCAAGGGAGTAGTTTTGGGATTACTCTGGTTTAATGCATAGTGCTCCTTATATAGATTACAATGTCAAATGAAGTATGTTTTTTCATACATTTGGATTAGTTTTGAACTAGTCATAGTCTTTAGAAGAGTACTCTTTATACGCGAGTGCGAAGTATTCTCAATTCTTGTAGGGTAATGGTCTTAAAGACCAAAATATACTTTACTAAAGAATTGAACAGATATGTATGTATTTCGAAAAAGGACGATTTAAAATTATATTTGAATGTCAATAGATTGGACCTTCTGACCTTGAACCTGTGGTGATAGAGAAATTATTTAAAATAGTGCAGTACACTTTGGTCTATTAATTGGCCCCGCATTGACCCCCATATTTTCAATAAATCAGTTAAAAACAAGTAAGAGATTTACTATGATATAAAAGTTATTTTTTATCATGATATTATGGACTTTCAAGTAGGTGTTTAGGATCGAAAGTGGTGGGGTTATGAGGGAGACTTTATATTAGGCTCAAATGAGGCCTGATCAGTACCTAAGATAACTGGCAGTGTCATTAAGACTTATATAAAACTTAGTTCTGCCAAAATTTAAACATTTTATGGATTCCAAGGCCATATGGATGTAGTTATATGGGGGCTTGATGAAATAATAGACATATTTTAACCGTTTTCAAATAGATCTCGTCCTTAAACCAAAAAAACACACATGTTTACCACAATATGGACATACAGACGGACATAGTTGAATCGACTCAGAAAATAATTTAGGGCTGATGGGTATAGTTTTGGGTGGGTATAGGATTATTATTTTTGGATTCGTCTTGTGAAGTAAATTCGAAATCACTTAAGAAGACTTAGTTTGCTTATAAAATAAGACTGAAAGATGATTCAAAATTGGAAATAATATACTTTTAATCTGATTAGATATATGATTAGTTTAAAGAAGAAGTTATTGATTTTGAATTTTTAATAAAAACTGCATGCATGAAACAATAAAAACGCTTAATATTCAATAAAATTCAGCATCCATATTTGAAATTGAATCTCACTTAGGTTAAGGTTTATTTGGTAATGAATGGAAAAATCTCTTTTCTCCCCTTGACATGTTAAAATACATTCCAAAACTAATTTTTTAACATTTCAGGCTTAATTTACTACTCATGTACAAAAAGAAAAAAAGCAAAAAAAAAAAACAAATAAAATATTAAACAAAATGTGTTGTGGTTTTTTTGTGACAACAAATTTAAATTTAAACGAAATAATAAATAATAAACAAAAACCGCCAATTTAACATTGAAATGCCCTCGATTTTATTAATCATGTTTATTTAAATATAAATATTGTTATTGTTTGTACATTCTTCTGTTACTCTTAACTACTTTATTTAATGATTAATTAAAAACAATTACTGCAATAATGTTAATTTTACTTCTTTCTTTACTCCACTTTTTTCACAATACAACCAAACAGTATCCATGGATGAGACACAATTTGAATCTCCACCCTTGACACAGGAAAAAGTACTCGAATTAATTGAACAGGCCTATCCAAATCCGATAACACCAGAAGATTTAGCCAAGTAAGTTAACAAAATAAGACAAATTTATATTGTAAATTTATGAATACATTCCACTCCTTCTAACAGAGACTATGGTTGGGAGGAACAGGATGTTATTTTAGTGTTTATGTCTTTGAAGGAAAGAGGATTAATTAAATCCATGGAATATAATTCTTATACCAGAATACATCATGAAGATAAAGAGATTAAGGTAAGTACTAAGCACTTAAGAAATATTAAACCAATTTTCATTAAATGTCCTTTTTAAAAATAATTTAGGTGGTCAAACAAATGCCCACGATTGCCTCCAATAAACAACCCACCATTGCTATTATTACCGCTCAATACTGCGAAAAATTGGCAGTGGATGCCATGTTGGAAAATAAGGAAACCTTTGTACGCTATACCACAGTGGGTAAGTTATTTATTTGTTGATTTTATTTTATAATTATACATTTTAGCGCCTATAGTTTCAAATAAATTCTAACCAACAAATTTTTCTCTTTCTCTAATTTTCAAATCATCTAAAAACCCGGTTTCTAACCTTAAAATAAATACGCCTAAACCGGTTTCTATACAAAAACATTAACAAATTACACACTTTTAGATTCAGATCCCAATCTAACGAATTCTCTGAAAAAGTCCAATAAAAAACGACGTTTTGGTAAGAAAACTCAAGGAGAATTATGTCTGAAATCCTCTCTATATATGTCCTTGTTTATAAGTTTACTTAAATCAAACATAAGGCTTTTTGTGTAAAATTTAAAAAAAATAAAACATTTTCCAAATCTAGGGTTTAAAACGGAAAATACAAATTTAATTACGTACTAGTTTAATACCAGCTTGAACCGAGTCGACTTATTCGCTTATAGTATCCTACACGTAAGGATCTAAATATTACTAAAATGTTAAAATAATCGGTTCAATAGACTTCAATTGAAAACTACGAAGCCATCTATTGGATAAAATTCACAGAACCTTTCTGATGTTCTAGCTACTAAACAACAAGGCCTTAGATTTGAAGCTGATATTTTGGTGTTAACGGTCCTTGAAGTTATTTCGGCAATAGTATTCGGGTAATCATAATCGAAACCTGGGTTTAGATTCTAAAACTATGGCTTTCAAGGCGTCCAATATGACAAAAAAGTTCGAATTTTCATTCTTGATTAGTTCAGAAACTATAGCAACTAATACTAATTTGTCACAAGCAGTTTTTTCATCCAGAGATTAACTTGGTTAAAAATTATTATAATCGGTTCAAAAGTTTATATAGTCCTTATACAAATGTACCTACATACATACTACCGGGGATGGTAGTTAAGAAATCCCTCTAGGATATCGGTGTTAGCATAAAATTTATATAAATGTAATGTCAATAGAAATTGTATTACCAATTAAAACCCAGATTGGTCTATAGTTGGTCATACAAGGTCTAGTTCGAAAATTCAATTAATCGTTAATAACTCATGAATTAATAATGATATGAAGATAAATATATATCAATAATTCTGTGAATTTTTTTTTTTCGGATCGGCCCATAATTGGTCATAAATTTCCCTTTTAAAAATCACAAAATCGTAAATAACTCGAATACTACAGAACGTCATAAATCATTCTTTGAAACTTTTCCTTATCGGCCCATAATTCGTTACATGTAACTCCCATGTAAAACCCTTTTTTAAAATAAATAAATCATCACTATATAATGCTAGTGGTATAAAATATTTCCCATATAAGGGCCACATCCAATTGACAATATAATGAATTATTTAATGTAATCATTACCCCCAAGATTGATTTCGAAAAATTTTCGACATCTTTATAAAATTATAGATGAAGGGTATTTAAGATCCAGGATAGTGGAATATAGTACTCTGACTTGTTTGTAATCAGTTTTGTAGCAAAGTTTAACATATGGAAGTAATAATTGATCGACTATCTATATAACCGACTTTTTCAATAACTTCAAAACGTGTCATTTTCCATGTAACTTAATATGTTCGATTATATAGATTAGAAATGAAGTTAATAGCCTAGAAACTTCCACTTTAGACTGACTATGGCAATATAATATTAAAAGTTTTAAAATCAAATTAATGTCTTAAATCCTAAACAGACCGATACAAATCTATTTAAGAATTCATTAAAGCAGGCATCGACTGGGAGTAACAAATTATCCCCGAAATTAAATCTTAACTAGAAGGATTTAGATTTAACTTAAATTATAATTTAATAATCTACCATAAGCTTCCCCCAAGATTTTGAAAATGTTTTGTTTTAATCTCAATTGGTACAAGGGTAAATAAATTTAGTTGTGTCCTTAAAAATAAACATTTATGTTCGTTTTCGTTGTCCTCCAAAATTCGTTTTGGTCCATTTTTTATGTTGTCTCAAAATTACTGGAAAAAAAGTAAAGCACATTTTTTCGTATCTGCCAAACACCATTCCTGTATGTATTATTAACACCGTCACCACCACCTTTAATGCCCCTCACCTTAGTAACACTTTATCATTACACTTCATTTTTACGTTAAAGCAAATCAAATGTTTCAAGAGCTTTCCACTAATCCAATCTATTGCTCTTTCTTTTATATTTTATGTTTTCCCTTTAGGTGAATCTAACGTTTATACTCTGGGCAATATTGGTGCTCATCGTATTGTCAGCACAAAACTGCCCTCGGTGGGTAGTACTCGTGAGGCCATGACTGCTACTGGCAATACCACCACACGTTTATTGGGCACATTCCAAAAGGTAGATTATGTCTTTGTAGTGGGTGTAGCCGGTGGTGTACCACATTATACGGATTATAAGAAGCATGTACGTTTGGGTGATGTGGTCATATCGTATGTGGACAAACAGAGAGCTTTGGCTAATGGGTTAGTTTTATAAAAGAAAGAAATTTTGTTTTTATTTTAATGGCGATTTTGTTTTAAGCTCCGAAAAACCCTATGTTTATGTCTATAAGAGTGGTGAAGATGTTAAAACTTACTTCCCTGTAAACGATTCCCTGCAACAAATTGCCGAAGGTCTGCATTTAAATATGGAAGCTAAACGCCCTTGGGAGAACTATTTGAAAGAGGGTCTTAATTTGTTGCAACAAAAAACCGAAAGTGATTTCAATCGTCCTGCCCCTAACACCGATAAACTGTTCATGAATATCGGCAATAATGAGGTCATTGAAGTTTCACATCCCATAGGCGCCGATTGTGTTGATGGTCTACCTAAATCCCGCCTTCATTTGGGTCCCATTGGTTCGGGTCGTGATTTGGTGCGTAATGATAATTTGCGCATAGAATTTGCCAAGAAATATGGTTTATTGGCCACGGATGTGGAAATGAGTTCTGTTTTAGACAGTATTATTGGTAATTGCCGGGAAAGCTTTATAGTCATTAAAGGTAAGGGGAAATTTCTGATTAATAAATTTCTTAGTTGTATTAATTAAAAAAATTCGTCAAAATTTTTAATATTATATTTTTTTTTAACTCATAGGTATTTCCGATTATAAAGATGGTACCACCACCCGTAAATGGCAAAACTTTGCTTCTTTAGCCGCCGCCTCGGTAGTGAAATCGATTATTTGTGGCATGGATGCTCCCACAAATGTTTAAATTAATTAATTTTTAATTGCTATTTAATAATCAAAATAAGCGTTTATGTATAACAAGGCATTTAGTTTTTTGGCAAATAAATATATTTATTAGTTTTTAGTACTAAAACAAACTTAAAAGATTTATAAAAATATTTATATAAAAAATTTATATCAACACGCCCATTTTTTTCTGTAATTTAAAATATCTAGAAATGCAACATAACCTAAGATTTTTTTCCTAAACATTACAAATTGATTATTGTTATGAATTTGTTTCCTTTTTTTATAAACTTTTTGTTATTTTTTATATAATTTTTTTAATAAGCATATACATATGAATATTTGTCTGTTTTTTTTTTAATGATAATGTAAATAGTTTAAATTTTATAAATATTATTATAATGGAAAGTTAATTGATTAAAATTTTAATTAAGGTTAATGGTTAACAACAGTTTCAATTAATATTTCTAGTAAAAATATATTTCACCTGAGGTTAAGTTGAGACCAAGATTAAAATTTTATTTAATTAACTGATATTTAAAGAAAATAAATAGTTTTATATCAATTATATATGATAAATAAAAAAACGCATTTTTCTTTACTAATAAACATTTAATTTTAAGGATATTTTAAGTTTTCATATGAGATAAATTATATAAAATTGGAAACATCAGGCTTAAAGTAAAAATTGAATATTATTTTTAGTAAAGAATCGAATTTTTAACTAAAAAAATTATTTTTTAGTAAATAATCAGTTTTTGGTGAAACTCGTGAGAAATCCGATTTTTGCGATAAATTGAATTTTAGTGAAAAAAACATTTTTGTAAAAAAAAAAATGATTTTTAATGTAAAATTGGATTTTATATAAGAAATCGGATTTATAATGAAAAATTTGAGATAATTTAAAAAAAATCTAATTTTTTAAGAAAAGGAAAACCAGTTTTGAGTAAAAAATCGATTTGTTTGTAAAACATATCAACATTTTAGAAAAAATTTTAATTTTTTGTGAAAATCTATAATTTGTGCTTTTAGTAAAATGTGATTTTTTTGTGAAATTAGAAAGTTTTGGGACTTTTAGTAAAAAATTAATCCGAAAATCTTTTAGTGAAATACCAAACTTATAGTATTTAGACACCATCAGATTTTAGGCGAAAAATCAGGGGCCGCATCTAGTACATTTTCGCCTAAATAATATTGGCCCTACACCCACCTTAAAGTATACCAATCAGCTCAGAATCACTTTCTGAGTCGATTTAGCTATGTCCGTCTGTCTGTCCGTCTGTGTGTCCATGTAAACCTTGTGCGCACTACACAGGTCGCAATATTTAAGATAATTTGATGAAATTGAAACCAAGGACGAAGCCTATTGGAAACTGTTAAAATCGGTTCATTATTTCGTATAGCACCCATACAACAAATTGGCAAATCTTAATTTTAATAAGTCTTAATGATACTGCTGATTTTGTTATGATACTGCCTCATTTGATCCTGTCCCCCATACATAGTCCCCTTCAGAAAATGACTTGATGGTCAAAATTCACTTATAAACACTAATATCATGATGTTTTGCATTAATAACTAATGTAGACGTAAAACCCCCTACAAAAATGTATAAGAATATAACCCCTTATTTAGTAAATCCCTTTTTTGTCAACAAAAACTTTATTATTAAAAAAATAATCAAAATTTTTAATATAATCACCGGTGTAGGTTATCATATGGTCGGCCATGCCCGACTATAAATTCTTACTTATTTATTGATATATTTGGCCGAAAGTCTTATCGAAGAAGAAATGGAGTCATTTGACATCTGTTAAGAATACCACGATGACCCTCTGTAGTAACCCCAATAACGCTGTTCAGTGACATGTATTATTATATAGTAAGTATAGTTTATAAATGATTCGAAAATTGTTTAAAAATATTTATTAAAACTATAATTTTGTTCAGTGTAGATGAAAGAGAGTTTAGAATTTATGCGTTTATGATGGGCGCTCATTTGGTTAATAAGAGAACTAATATTTTCAGTTGAATTTATGTTGAAATATATTAAGTTAATAAAGAGATTTATAAAATATAAACAAAATGCGCAAAAATAACCTAAAACTTCTAATTAGGTTTAAGAGTCTTGAAATGAGAAATGAAAAAATACAACAGAGATGAGCAAGTGACATCAAGTGATTTATGAAAAATTGTATCTAAAAGATGAAAGATGTTAATAGCATGTTTCCATGTGTGTCTATGATACAAAAATACGTTTGTTATATTATTTTGACAAATTAAGTAACATAGTATTTTCTATTTATTTGTAGTTTTATTTTTTATTAGTCTCCAACAAATGAAAACAAACAGCTGATTATGATAAACAATGTAATTCAGTTCGTTATTGGGAATGAGAGCGTGAATGACGAGTAACTGCTCCGTGTGAACGTGGTATAAACATTAACCCTTGTATTCATAATAGCTTATTTTCGGTTTATCAAGCACATTTCCCATATAAAATTCCTACCACAAACCATCAATAACTAATTAAGCGCTTATAAAAACGGGGACTAGTCTTATGTGTCTTATTTTCTGAGGTCCTAATCAAAACATCACTATAATTCCAAGCTAATATAATTTTGAAAAATGTTCTGTAGTATCCAGAACAAATTCATATAGAAACTATTATATTAAGTGACTCAAAACTAATCCCTCACCTTAACACACGCTAACATCACTGAAAACTCTTTGTCTCCACACACTCTCCAACTTTTCCCTCTAAGTAAATATTTACTCTCTTATTTACTATATATACTTCTGTTCCATGTCTCAGCGACGACGACAACCTTGTCTGGAAGTGAGTATCTGAGCGAGTGAGTGAGTAAAAGAAATCCACCAAAAAGATAGACCATTAAAATTTTCAACTTTAAGAATCAGTCGTTTAGTAGCGGCCAATTAATAAGGTTGCGTTTCGTTTCACGGTTTAACTAGGAAATTTTTAAAAAGCCACGTGGGTTTCATAAAACAATTTAAATTTTATTAATTATAGTGAAAATACAAACGAAATTATAATAAAAAGTGAGTTTTTAGCATAAGTTTATGAAATCAAACAAAATTCGTAAAGAAATTTTTCAAAATATTGACAATTTATGTGTTAAAATGTAAAATCACATGGCGTTATGTATTACATATATACATATATGTATGTGTTTAATTAATTTGTAAAAAATTTATTTAAATAAATAATATTTAATTTAACTAATTTTAAATGTTTTTAAATTATAACTAAATTTGTATGTATAATTTTATTGCTGAAACCCTTTAAGCGTTTAATAACTGGTTTTGCAAACGTGTAGGTTCAACTAAACATACGAGTGTGTCGGTCTCACATATGTTTTACAGTTTCCTTATGATTTTTTAATTAATTTACTTTTTCATTTGCAAATATTGTTTTGATACAAAGAAAAAATTAACCCAAAAAACAAACAAGTTTTCTATACAAACCATAAATTAAAAAAAATGCGTTTCAAATTCTTATCAAACCCTACACCACTACACAAAGAAAACTTTCGAATTTCGCACTTAGAATAATCAACAACTTCAAATACACCCGCGCTACCCCATAGGCCGATTCATTACATGTCAAAATTGTCATTTATTTGATTTATCTTTACAAATCTAATTATTCCCGATATGAATCTGTCTACTTTTGAATACACTTAATGAACTTAATTAATTTCTATAAAAGAAAAGTAAAAAAACGTGATTTAAATTTTAGTTTAACTTTGTTGTAATAAATAGATTTTTATAATACTGTTGTTGTTATTTATTTGTGCCTTCATTTAAATTTAACACTTTTTTTGTATTTTTTATTTAAAATATAAAAATTTTAAAGTGTCTGTATGTGTTTTTTGCGTATTTAGTATTTGTGAGATTGAATATTCGAGTTTTACCGGCATCTGTGTATCTCCGTCTCTATGCTTTTGTCTCATTTTCTATACAAGATTTTTTGAGCATGCCAGAGACAACAAACAAATTGAAAATGTACTCAATGTAAACAATACAACAGAAAAACGACCGCATTTGATAAGAAAAGATATGAAAGAAAACAAGTTCAAGAATACCAACGAGTTATTATTCGGTTGTCTTGTGATATTCGGTTTGCGTAAATGTATCTGCTTTATTCTAGTTAAAAGTTAAACGAAATTCGATAAATATAAAGAAAAAATTTAAGTGAAATTTTAACATTTGATATTATTGTAGTCTGGATTATTTGAGTGCTGTATTTCGACAATCGACTCCATGCTCTAGATCACCAGTGGTATGTTAAGTAATCAAAGGACTTTATTTTTTCATAGTATTTTTAGTGAAATTTAACAGAATTCCTTCAATGATTAAACAAAACAAAAAATTAAGTTATCAATAGTTTATTTATTGTTTATTAAACAATTTCCCATTCAAAGCTCCTATTACAAAACTTAATTGCTTTAATATAAACTTTTATCTATTCAAGAGTTTATGTTTAAAACTTCATAGAAGGATAACTGAGTAATTTCAATGAACAACTAATAAAGTGAATTTTAAATTACCCGGTATCTCTGGGGAGCAGTTTACAGATTACCCCTAGCCACCACATGACATGTGCTTGTCCTAGGAGGCCATTAATCGTCATTTTATATATTTAAAAGAGAAAGCTAGTGTAAAAGGGTCAATACATGTCCATGCACCTTTTCGCTTAAGTTTTGTTTCAAGTGTCCATTCTATAGATTACCTGGGTACAGTAAAGTTACGACTGTCTCTCCTGTAGCTAATAAAAGGGACACTTACTTCACTTCCAATTGGTTAGACGTTAGTGGAAATGATTGTCATTTTCATATGCTTTCACTCATTGTCGAACTGCTGTGAAGTTCAAGATTACTAATTCCAGTACTTCTGGCGGATAGTCCCAAATAACATATGGTTGTTCTAGGAAGAAGTTAATCGTTATTTCATAGATTACTAAGAGACAGTCAGAAAGTTACTCAAAAAGAATCAATAAATGGCAATGAACCTTTTCACTTAAGTGTTTTTAAGTGTCTACTGTCTAGATTACTTGGGAATAGTAACGATTATTGTCCCTCTCGAATTATTATAGACTCTATACTATAGAGACAATCAGGTGGTTAGACGTTTGTGGAAATGGTTGTCATTTTCGTATGATTTCACTCATTGTAGAACTGCTATAAAGTTCAAGATTACTAATTGCAGTAATTTTGGGGGACAGTCCCAAATAACATGTGGTTGTCCTAGGAAAAAGTTAATCGTTATTCCATTGATTACAAAGAGACAGTCTGAGAGCTGGTCCAAAAGAGTCAATAAGTGACAATGAAACTTTTCACTATAGTGTTGTTACGTGTTAACCCCCTAGATTACTTGGGGACAGTAACAATTGTATTTTCGCTCGTTTACATAGGCCAACAAGGTGGTTAGAGGTTAAAGGAAATGACAGTCATTTCAAATGCATTGAATATTTGTTGAACTGCTGGACAAGTTCAAGATAACTAATACTACACAATATTGACAATCGATCATACACTAGATTACCGGCTAAATGTGAAGTAATCAATATATTTCACTTTAGAAAGAACGTGGGAAAAATGGAGTAAATAAACCAAATAATGTAAGCGATGATCTCAGTGTAAGACCATTACGTTTCAAGAGCTACTGTTATTACTTAAATCTTATCCCTTAAACGATTAAACAAGAGTTTCAAAGTTTTAACATCTGCTTTACGTTTGATTTTTTATCATAAAATGATCTGTAAAGGATTTTTAAGAAATTTTCCGACATATGTTATCCATGCTAACAATCGGTATTTTACAAATATGAATGTTTAAAGTTGAAACACATTAAAACAAAATTTATGGATAAGTAGATAATGAAACTAAATTGAAAATCAAAAGCAAGTCAAAAAATATAATGATAGATATTGCCGCTAAACATTCCTTAAGAGTTCCTTTATCGATCATTAAGAATTAGGATACTTTGTATACACTGAGACAGCGATAAAGGGCGCAAATTATTTATTAACTAAAATCGTTAATAGGTTATTGCAAATTGAATTTTAAAATTACACTCGATTGTCTAAAAATTTAGTTCAATAATTCACTCATCTTTTTAATAGTTCCATGATTTAGGATTATATTAAAATTTTAAGGAGATTTTCGAGTCTTAAATTTCTTAAAAGTAAAAAAATAAATACCAAATATATTAAATTTTAAACTATGATATTTCCATTAGAATACAAATAATTAACTCCAGACTTTACTTCTTTCTCCTTGCAGTTCCATAACTTTAAATTATAAGCCCAACATATTTTTCAAAATCCAACAACATGTATTCTCCTAATTGTTATTTGGTACTTGAAGACTCGACCGTTTTAAGTGGTCAAGCCTTTGGTGCTAAGGCACCCGTTGACGGTGAGGTAGTATTCCAAACAGGTATGGTGGGTTATCCCGAATCCATGACAGATCGTTCGTATAGAGCTCAAATATTGGTATTAACTTATCCCTTGATTGGTAACTATGGTATACCCGATATGGAGGAAAAAGATGAACATGGTTTACCTAAACATTTGGAATGGCTAGAGGGTATATCCATAGCCGCCTTAGTGGTGGGTGAAAATTGTGAAACACCCTCTCACTGGCGTGCCAAGGAAACCCTATCACAATGGATGGAAAAACACAATGTTCCCGGTATTAGTGGCATAGATACCAGAGCTTTGACCAAGAAGATACGTGAAAATGGTGCCATTTTGGGTCGTATTGTTTATGAGTATCCAGAAAATGTGGAATCATTAAAATTCTCCGATCCCAATCAGCGTAATTTGGTGGCTGAGTGTTCAGTTAAGAAACCCATGGTTTTCAATGAGACTGGAACACCACGCATCTGTGCTATTGATTGTGGTTTGAAATTGAATCAAATTAAATGTTTTATTTCCCGTGGAGCTCGTGTTGAACTGGTGCCCTGGAATTGGGAGTTAGATGAATCTACCTTTGATGGTCTGTTTATTTCCAACGGTCCTGGTGATCCAGTTGTTTGCAAGGATACCGTTACTCAAATACAAAAAGTGTTAAAATCTGGCAAGAAACCAGTTTTTGGCATATGTTTGGGTCATCAATTGTTGTCCACCGCCATTGGCTGCAAAACCTACAAAATGAAATACGGTAACAGAGGTCACAATTTGCCCTGTATACATCATGGTACTGGACGTTGTTATATGACTTCTCAAAATCACGGTTTTGCTGTAGATACCGAAACTTTACCTATGGAATGGGAACCTTTGTTCACTAATGCCAACGATAGCACCAATGAAGGTAATTTAACAGACAACATTTATTAGAAAAACTTTACTAAATCTTTACTTTTTTAGGTATAATTCACAAACAGAAACCCTATTTCTCGGTACAATTCCATCCTGAACATACTGCCGGTCCCGAAGATCTTGAATTACTTTTCGATGTCTTCTTAAGTGCTGTGAAAAATCAATCGTCTCAGGGCGCCTCTACCATTAGTTTACGCCAACAATTAATCAATCGTTTGATGTACACTCCCACTCCCGAATCCTTATTGGAAAAGCGTCCTCGCAAGGTTTTAATTTTGGGTTCTGGTGGTTTATCTATTGGCCAGGCTGGTGAATTTGATTACTCCGGTTCTCAGGCCATTAAAGCCATGAAAGAAGAGAAAATTCAAACAGTTTTGATTAATCCCAATATTGCCACTGTACAAACATCTAAAGGCTTGGCTGACAAGTGTTACTTTTTGCCTTTGACTCCCGAATATGTGGAACAAGTTATTAAGGCCGAAAGACCTAATGGTGTACTTCTGACTTTTGGTGGTCAAACCGCTTTGAACTGTGGTGTGGAGTTAGAAAAGTCTGGAGTATTTGCCAAATACAATGTCAAGATTTTGGGTACTCCCATCAAATCCATTATAGAGACTGAGGATCGTAAAATTTTCGCAGAACGTGTTAATGAGATTGGCGAACAAGTGGCTCCTTCTGAGGCCGTTTATTCCGTAGAAGAAGCTTTAAATGCTGCCAAGCGCATTGGCTATCCTGTAATGGCTAGAGCTGCCTTTTCATTGGGCGGTTTGGGCTCCGGTTTTGCTGACAATGAAGAGGAATTGGAAACTTTGGCCCGTCATGCTTTGGCCCATTCCAGTCAATTGATTATTGACAAATCTTTGAAGGGCTGGAAAGAAGTTGAGTATGAAGTAGTAAGAGATGCTTTCGACAACTGTATTACCGTTTGTAACATGGAAAATTTGGATCCTTTGGGCATTCATACTGGTGAAAGTATTGTGGTGGCTCCTTCCCAAACTCTCAACAATCGTGAATACAATATGTTGAGAAGTACCGCCTTGAAAGTTATTCGCCATTTTGGTGTAGTGGGTGAATGTAACATTCAGTATGCCTTAAATCCTTATTCCGAGGAATACTATATCATAGAAGTTAATGCCCGTCTCTCGAGAAGTTCCGCTTTGGCTAGTAAGGCCACCGGTTATCCTTTGGCTTATGTTGCTGCCAAACTTTCCTTGGGAGTGCCTTTACCCAGCATTAAGAATTCTGTTACTGGCGTAACTACCGCTTGCTTTGAGCCCTCTTTGGATTACTGTGTGGTAAAAATTCCACGTTGGGATTTGTCCAAGTTTGTAAGAGTCAGCAAAAATATTGGCAGTTCTATGAAGAGTGTAGGCGAAGTCATGTCCATTGGTCGCAACTTTGAAGAAGCATTCCAAAAGGCTTTACGTATGGTTGATAATTCTGTAAATGGTTTCGACCCTTACTTGCAAGAAGTTAAGAAAGATGAATTGACTGAACCCACCGATAAAAGACCATTTGTTTTGGCCGCTGCCTTAAAAGCAAATTATTCCATAGATGAGCTACATTCTTTAACTAAAATCGATAAATGGTTCTTAAACAAAATGAAGAATATCATTGAATTCTATAATCAATTGGAAGTTTCGGGTTCTACATTGACCGCTGAACAGTTATTACATGCCAAGCGTATAGGTTTCTCCGATAAGCAAATTGGCCAGGCTGCTAAAATTACAGAGTTGGCTGTGCGTACATTGAGAAAGGAAATGGGTATTATACCCTTCGTTAAGCAAATCGATACCGTGGCTGGTGAATGGCCTGCTGCTACCAATTACTTGTATTTAACCTATAATGCTACGGAAAATGATATAGATTTCCCTGGTGGCTATACCATAGTAGTGGGATCAGGTGTCTATCGCATTGGTTCCTCTGTAGAGTTCGATTGGTGTGCTGTAGGCTGCTTGAGAGAGTTGAGAAATCTGGGTAAACCCACCATTATGATCAATTACAATCCCGAAACCGTATCCACTGATTACGATATGTGTGATCGTTTGTACTTTGAGGAAATTTCCTTTGAAGTTGTTATGGATATTTATGAACTGGAACATTCCGAAGGTATTATCCTATCTATGGGTGGTCAATTACCCAACAACATAGCCATGGATTTGCACAGACAACAAGCCAAGGTTTTAGGTACTTCACCTGAATCCATCGATTCTGCTGAAAATCGTTTCAAGTTCTCACGTATGTTGGATCGTAAGGGTATTTTACAACCTAGATGGAAGGAATTGACCAATCACGAATCGGCTATAGCTTTCTGCGAGGAGGTAGGTTTCCCTTGTTTGGTAAGACCTTCTTATGTTTTATCGGGAGCTGCCATGAATGTAGCCTATTCCAATCAAGACTTGTTGACTTATCTTAATGCTGCTTCTCAAGTCAGTAAAGAGCATCCAGTGGTTATTTCCAAATTCTTAACGGAAGCCAAGGAAATCGATGTAGACGCTGTAGCGGCCGATGGTGAGATATTATGTATGGCTGTATCGGAGCATGTAGAGAATGCTGGTGTTCATTCTGGTGATGCTACCTTGGTAACACCACCCCAGGATTTAAATGCAGAAACCTTGGAAAATATCAAACGCATAACCCGTGATTTGGCTGCTTTACTGGATGTTACCGGTCCCTTCAACATGCAAATTATTGCCAAGAACAATGAACTTAAAGTTATCGAGTGCAATGTGCGTGTTTCCAGATCTTTCCCCTTCGTATCGAAGACCTTGAATCATGATTTTGTAGCCACTGCCACCAGAGCCATTATGGGTTTGCCAGTAGAACCTGTCGATGTCTTACATGGTGTTGGCAAAGTTGGTGTTAAGGTGCCACAATTCAGTTTCTCACGTCTGGCTGGTGCCGATGTTCAATTGGGCGTTGAAATGGCCTCAACTGGTGAGGTAGCCTGTTTCGGTGACAATCGTTATGAAGCCTATTTGAAGGGTATGATGTCAACAGGTTTCCAAATTCCTAAGAAAGGTATTCTACTCTCGATTGGTAGTTTCAAGGTAAATTTTGTTTTTTATTTATAAATTATATAAGAAATTCTTAAAATGTTTAAAATTTTTCTCTTTTAGCACAAAATGGAACTTTTACCCTCTATTAGAGACTTGGCTAAAATGGGTTACAAACTTTATGCCTCCATGGGTACTGGTGACTTTTATGCAGAACATGGTGTGGATGTGAGTAAAACAACTTTTTTAACTGAATTATATTTATTTTTATTATAATACAAATTTGCGATTAAATTACTAAAATTGAGAATCTAAGTATCGGAGGACTGATTGAAAACTCCCTTAAGCTGTAAAGTTTTACGTTTTAGCATTTCACGTATATGAGCCTTTTTCTCTTCGGCCGTCATATTATTAAGGAAATTATTAGTATTTTGAGAAATGTTTTGGAATATTTCCGTATTCCCTATGGGAGAAGACTTTATAAAGTCAGAGGAACTTTTTAGTTTATTACGGAGATAGGAAGGTATTAATGACTGTTTATCGGTGAGAGTTAATTTTTCTTCTTCTTCATTTAAGTCCTCAATGTCATCTTGATCATCCTCATTTTCAGAGTTATCATTTTCGATTTCTTTAGATTCATTCTTAGATCTTAAAATACTAACTGGACTGTAGCCTTGTGGCTTTTGTATGGGATTTTGGTCACCTTGATGTACCGTTATAACTTTATCCCTAAACTTGATGGATTTTCTAGGTTCTGGAGATTTGACAGGACTGATTTTTTCTGGTAGACTTGTTGCTTTGTGGGAGTTTTTTAAACAAGTTTTGATTTCAGCGTCCCCTACCGGCATTGAATGTAAGGGATTTGTATCTCCAGGTTGCACCTCCACAACCACATTGCGAAATTTAATAGATTTTCTAGGTTCCGGAGATCGTTCGGGAGAAGTAGGTTCACTTCTTTCCAACACCTCTTCCATATGAAATTTCAAACATTTCTTAGGATCTGGTGTTGCTGTTGCCAACTTATCCTGCGGTATCATTTCCTCATATACATTAAAAGAATTTGTTTCTATAGTTTGTGGTACTTCTGGCAACACTGGTTCCATGCTAATTCTCCTAGGCAATGAAGGAGGACCAATGGAAAAGTCTTCTTTATCATAAATAATTTGCAATTCTTCATCGAGATTGTGTATAGAGGCCAAATATTCCTTGGCTCCTATATCACAGCCATAGTTATGATAACATTTACAAAGACGACGTGCCTGAGATAAATATGTTTTGGCCATTACCACCGACTGAAATTGTATAGCTTTAGCGGCCATTTCTAATAGATGGTCAAGTATAATTTCTAATATATTGGTGCGCCTAAGATTTTCCACTCCTTGATTGAGTTGCCTGGTATTAGAGGATTTAAAGTTGCGCTTGAAAAAGAACTGTAAAAGAATTAAAACTAAATATGTAATCCTAAATTGAATTAATTTATTATTACCTCTACATCTATGGACTCCACTGAACGTCTTTTGGCCTGCATTTCCTGTTTTTTCATTTCTATATTGTGTCTTAATAAATGTGTTTTACGCCTCAATTTTCCATTTGTTCGAACATGATGCTGTTTTAGACCTACCAAACCTTTGGCTCCCTCATCGGGCATTAAACATGATTCATTTTCATCCTCTTGAGCCAAATCAATTAAAGAACGAGCATTTTTGGCCAACATTTTCAACTTAACCATGTCATTTTCCACAAGATTCTCATACAGCTTTTTAAAATTTAGTTTAGGTATGAAATCGTCGGTAAATTCTAAATTACGAAAAGCTATCATAAGATGCATAACCGGATTGGCGGTAATATCCGCCAATATAGTGTATAAAGAATTTAGGGAATATTCGGGTATACTTTCGAAAAGATTGCGCTCTCGGATGAAATAATCACTTAGTTGTTTTTCTTTAACTCTCTGCTTGAAAGAGTTAAGAAAACGTAACAGCACTTCACCGAGGAACTCTTCGGGCCAGGCAGTGTAGTCTCTCTCACACTCCCAAAATAAATGCATGCGCAAGTGATCTAAAGCGAACATAAGCGATTTGTTTTTCTCTATAGGTTCCACAAAACTTTTAATTAAAGCTTTACTTATCATATAGACTTTAACTTGGGCATTAGTCAAGTGTTGTTCCAGATAACGCTCGGCCTTGGGAAACACTATACGCCATTCGATATCCCTAAAAGGATTACGTTTCTTTTTGGGTGCATAGCCCATGGGTATGACATGAAAACCAAAAGTTTCTATGCGTTTAATCATGGCTCTGGTGGGCCATTGTATTTGTTGGCCCGTTTGGGGATTAGTGGAAATGGGACGATCTCTTAGACGAAACTCAAAGGCACATTTGGGCCAGTCGGAAACATTTTGGGCGGCATATATAGCTGGTATTAGTTCATATTTGCTGGTGTATATGGAAGTGCCGCGATAAGTGGACTCATTTAATTCCAGCTCTGAAATATTTAATTTTTCAGCCAATTTTTTGCGCACCAATTCACCAAAATATTTCATAAATTCTCGAGAATTTAAATAATTTTGAGCCAATAGCTTGCGCCGCTTTTCCAATTCAATTCTATATAGTTTAATGGCCTGCAAAGTGTCATAATCTCTGTAATCCTCTACTATCTCACAAGCATCACTGTTTTCATATTCACTATCACTATCCTCCTCATCATCGGTAAATTCTTCTTCCTGCAAAGGTTGTACAAAATTACCCAACGATGATATACACGATTCAGGCAAAACTTTGGCATCTATTCTATGCTGTTCCCGGGCATTGGACATTTTAAGTTCTCTTAGAGGATGTTGAGTATTTAAGTGTGATATGAAGGCATAATCATAGTCTTCTTCTTTATCATTATCGTATGAATTTAAAACTGTTTTACTGCTGTAAGGACTGGTGGTGCCATAACCCGAACTGCCCTCACTATAGATATCCTCAAAGTCTCCTGTTATTGCCTTCGCCTGCTTAGGATCCTCACGTAATTTCAAGCGTACATAACCTTTCCATTTAATATTGCTGAGCATTTGTATATAGTCCTCTTTACAGGGTGTAGTCTCACGAAAATCCAATTCCATATCCACTTTACAGAGAGGAGATATGGAATCATAATTGGCATCATTGGGTCGGGCTATGTCGATATTTTCAAAAACTACATACATGGTCTGAGGCTGTAGTAATTGGACATTGTTTTTATCGGGACCATGACTGAGGAAAGTTTTTGGAAAATAAAATTTAGTTTAATTTTGCGTTATAAAATTCTCTCAACTTACCAGGGCTTGTAGTTGACCCATTTTGCTATGGCCATATCTAATGGGTTTGTTAGCAGTATCGAATGTTCTTCTAAATTTTGATTGAGTTGTTTTTCTTTGTTTAATTTTTCATCGGCAATTGCAGAGAGTTCACTGTAATTTGAAGAGTCATTTATTTAGAAAGATAATTGAGGAAACAGAAAAGTGTTTTTTTTAATATCAAAATTCCTGGTAATTGATCGTTTGGTAAAATCTTTTTATTTAATAAATTTGTATAACAAAATAGCATGAATAAAATAGACAATGTTTAAATTCGTAATGTTCTTTAATAACCAAGGAAAAAGTCACGTGACTAGTTCTATGAAAGTTTCATGCTAAGTTAAGTTGGAGAAAAGATTTAATATTTTTATGTCCGACTTAACAAATGTCTTATTAGTTATACATTAATTAGCCACTTAAAAAGTCAAGAAACGTGTGAATTCTCATTTGTACCACTTAATTATCTTAACTGATTGCTTTGAAACAATTTAATTCCATTTAGTATTTTTTTTTTTGAAAACCTATAAAAAACGATATAATTATGTTATCACTTGTAAATGAGTAATACAAGTAATTTCAAAAAAATTTCACTTGTTTTAATAGCAACACTTGAAAAATTGAAGCACTATAAAGAGAAGACAACACTTTGTTTTAGAACAGAGAACTGATGAAATCCCCACAAAATTAAAGATAAAAAAATTGGTTCTTTTTATTACTATCAAACAAACGATAGAAACAGTAGTTGAGGGAACTATTTGCTAGGAACATAAGTGCTAAACAAATATCCGCCTTCCAAAATGTAAGGTTTTTCCTGTTTACTAGAAAACTTGTGGAAAAAATCGCATATATTTAAATGTTATTAATTTTGAACTAAACACACCTTTCATAGTTTTTGAAAAACTGTATGGACAAGGCCATTTGATTTAAAATAAATTCACATAAATCCTCATTCAATAGTTTTTGTATTTTCGTTTCCAATTGACGATTTAAATCCTCACGACGAAAATCATAACGCATGGTGTGATAATTAAAATTCGATTGATTGATTTCCGTCGCGTCCGCACTACCACGCTGACGTATTGTGGCTGCTAATGCTGCAAGCTGATCTTGTGTTTGTTCATTTGAGGCACGACGTTTATGTTTAGTTTTGCCCAGCTTTTTTGCTTGTTTCTTTTGCAAACGAGCAATTTGTTTTTTCTCTTTCTCCTGCTGCTGGCGGGTACGTTCTCTTTGCGACTCTTTATATTGTATTTCCTGTAAAGGATTATTAGGTTTCTGTAAAGGTTTTGAACTAGAACGACCCATTTGTTTTAATAATTTGGGGATTTTTTTTAGTTATAGTTCCGCTTATTTTTTGTTCGCTTTACTACCGAGATCTTCATCAATTAAGTGACAATTAAAAACTAAAAAAAGAAATTGATCATTACTATTTGATTGTTATCATTAATGTTGTTGTGCAAGATGTGTGTTTGTTTGAAAAAAGGTATTTTTATTATTTTATATGTTTCTTATCAATAAATATTTGTTTTTATAATATATTTAATAACAAATATGTTATTGATTGCCTGTTCTTGGTGGTGATTTCTTTATATATTTTATTTTATCTTATTTTACCATTTAGTGGTATACTTTTTTCCTCTATATGGAGACTCATGTCTGCAAATGATGTTCTTTTTTCCTTGTAAGTTTGTGTATAATTATCGATACAATTAAGTTGTGGGCATAAATATATTATAACTTAAATAAGAATAAGTTACTTCTTGATATCTTGAATACGTTATTTCACGATCTTGTGGTTGTATTTCAAGATAGTCCTTCGGATCGATAATGCTTTGATAGCAGTACCATATCCAGTCTCTATTTACTTCCTGCTTTAGAAAATCACTATGTTGATATCGAAACAAAATCAACTTTTCAAAGTTCTACAAGGCCAGGTCCACATATATACTTTTTTATCATAGTTATTGTGACTCAACCAGTAATGCCACTCTTAAAGAACTCATACATACATACCCGCACCCTTCTCTCCTATTACTCACAGTCTTTTGGGACGTCACATCTTGTCGGTGAATATGTTCACCAAAGAGTAACTTAATGACATTTTATTTTTTTTTTTGCCGCTACCTGCTAACAACTTTAAATTTAAAGCTAAACAAATTCAGAATGCTATTCATTTGCTCATCTCTGTGTCATTGAAAATATGTCGTTTTAATGATTACAAGTTAATTGAACTTGGAATATATGGAAACTAATATTTACTCGTGTTCTTCTTTAATTGTAAATATTTGCAAAAACCTATCACTGCTAAAGATGGTTACAAATCCTTAATCTTATCTCGGCAGAAGAACAAAATTCTCAGAAATCATATCAAATGGGAACAACACTTTTAAAAAGCTATTTAAACAATGAAATCAATTTAATACTAAATGGAACAATCTCCGCACAATGTCCTTTAAATGGGACTTTAGTATGAACCTTATAGTATCGAATTTGATCTATTTCGTAAACGATTAGAGTCATGCATAATCTATCAGAAATGTTGAATTCATTCCTAGTTCCTCTTATGCAAAAGATGCGGAGTTTATAGGATTTCAAATAAAACCATTTTTCAATAAAGCAAAGTATTGAACCGCAACCTGAATATCTAACCTTCAAATAGGACTCCGATCATTGTTAATTTTTAAACCGTTATTTTTAAACGTAATTTAGACCAAAATATTTTAAACATTTTTTTACATTATTAAATAATTTCTTGCAAATTTCAGGTCGAATGTGTACAATGGACTTTCGATAAGAATATGCCCGAAGATTTGAGTGGTGAATTGAGACATTTAGCTGAGTTTTTGGCCACCAAACAATTTGACATGGTTATCAATTTACCCATGAGAGGTGGTGGTGCTAGAAGGTAAATAATTGCTATTTTTATATGAAACAAAACTGAACATTAATTAATTTCCCTCCCTTTACTTTTCTAGAGTTTCCTCCTTCATGACCCATGGTTATCGCACCAGACGTTTAGCGGTTGACTATTCCATTCCTTTGGTTACTGATGTTAAATGTACCAAATTGTTGGTGGAATCTATGCGTGTGACAGGACGCAAACCAGCCATGAAAACTCATACCGATTGCATGACTTCCAGACGCATGGTCACCTTGCCCGGTTTCATTGATGTTCATGTACATTTACGTGAACCCGGAGCCACACACAAAGAAGATTTCGCCAGTGGTACTGCTGCTGCCTTGGCTGGAGGTGTTACCATGGTGTGTGCCATGCCCAACACTAACCCCTCTATCATAGATAGAACCTCGTTTACTCTATTCCAAGAATTGGCCAAGGCTGGCTCACGTTGTGATTATGCCTTGTATGTGGGTGCTTCCGATACCAATTGGCAACATATTCATGAATTGGCTGCCCAAGCAGCGGGTTTGAAAATGTACTTAAATGATACATTCAGTAATTTGAAAATGACTGATATGACGGTGTGGGAGAAACACATGCAAAACTGGCCCAAACGTGCCCCCATTGTGTGTCATGCTGAAAGACAAACTATGGGTGCTGTTATCTTAATGGCCCAACTTATGGATCGTGCTGTACATATATGTCACTTGGCCCGCAAAGAGGAAATTATGATTGTTAAAGCTGCCAAGGAGAAGGGTATGCGTGTAACCTGTGAAGTTTGTCCCCACCATCTGTTCTTGTCTACTAAGGACGTAGACTCCATTGGAGCAGGTAGAGCTGAAGTTAGACCTGTTCTTTGCTCACCTGAAGATCAAAAGGCATTGTGGGATAATATTGATTGCATTGATGTATTTGCCACAGATCATGCTCCCCACACTTGGGAAGAAAAGAATTCCGAAAAGCCACCACCAGGCTTCCCTGGCATTGAGACTATTTTGCCTTTACTATTGCAAGCAGTCGATGATGGTCGTTTGTCTTTGGAAGATATTAAAAATAAATTCTATCGCAATCCCAAGAAAATATTCAGTCTTCCCGATCAACCCAATACTTATGTTGAGGTTGATTTGGATGAAGAATGGGTTATTAGCAAAGAATTCATGCATTCCAAGTCTAAGTGGACTCCATTTGAGGGTACTAAGGTTAAGGGTAAGGTACATCGTGTAGTCTTGCGCGGTGAAGTGGCCTACATAGATGGAGAAGTGTTGGTACAGCCAGGTTTTGGTCAAAATGTACGCAGTCACTATAATCTTAAATCCCTGTTGCAACAATCTATGGAATCATTGGAAATTAAGACTTCCATCGATAATTTGGATCGTAGTACCGATTTTGTTTCCGATTCCCAAGCTAATGAAGCTTTTGCCAGATTGTTGTCGGAAACACCCTCAAAAACCAATGTACACTTCTCAGGAGATCCCAACTTTTTGCGTCCTATTTCCCCCTCACCACGCATACGTTGTGACTCGGCCAGTAATGCCACACTTAAGGAACTCATACAGAAGACCACTGCCACCGCACCCATCTCTCCCGTTACTCACAGTCTTTTGGGACGTCACATCTTGTCGGTGGATATGTTCACCAAGGAGCAACTTAATGACATTTTCAATTTGGCTCAATTGCTTAAGAGTCGTGTAGTTAAAGATCGTCCTGTGGATGATTTATTAAAGGGCAAAATCATGGCTTCCGTATTTTATGAAGTTAGTACCAGAACATCTTGCAGTTTCGCCGCAGCTATGCAAAGATTGGGTGGCCGTGTCATTTATATGGATGAAACTAGTTCTTCGGTGAAGAAGGGTGAAACTTTAGAGGATAGTATATCAGTAATGGCTGGTTATTCGGATGTGGTAGTTTTAAGACATCCACAACCTGGTGCAGTAGGTGTAAGTATACAAATAATAAAAGGGAGCAAAGTCGTTTCAGTTTCTAAGTTTTACTTATCTTAATTATAGCGCGCTGCTCAACATTCTCGCAAACCTTTGATTAATGCCGGCGATGGTGTGGGTGAACATCCCAGTCAAGCTTTGCTTGATATCTTCACCATACGTGAAGAAATCGGTACCGTCAATGGTCTTACCATTACCATGGTGGGTGATTTGAAACATGGCCGTACTGTGCATTCTTTAGCCCGTCTCCTGACCCTCTACAATGTGACCATACAGTATGTCAGTCCCGATAACTTAGGCATGCCAGATCACATTGTACGTTATGTCAACTCTAAGGGTATTAGTCAAAAGGTCATGCAAAGTTTAGAAGAGGCTCTACCCACCACCGATGTTTTGTACATGACACGCATACAAAAGGAAAGATTCGCCAGCGAGGAAGAATATGAAATGGTAGATACTTGAAACTGGGTTTTTAAAAGTAATGTAACTAATGTTGCCCTTGTTTTCCTTACAGTGTTGCGGTAAATTTATTGTCACCCCCAAACTCATGACCCTGGCTAGTCGTCGTACCATTGTTATGCATCCTTTGCCACGTGTATTTGAAATTAGCAAAGATTTCGATTCAGATCCCAGAGCAGCCTATTTCCGTCAAGCCGAATACGGGATGTATGTACGCATGGCTTTGTTAGCCATGGTAGTGGGTTGTCGCACTTGATGTGTTACGGATTACAAGGATATTGTTGATTTACTTTAGAAGGCATTTCTACTATATATATATTTTTTACATAAGTTATATTCTTTTTTTATATATACATATACTATTTTACAATATCATTTATAATTAAAACTATTAATAAAATTAACAAAGTTTAAAAGCTTAAAAAATACATCAAATTATTGTTTGTTGCTTATTGTTAGTTCAGAAAATTGTATTTATTCTAATACGAAAAAATTAGAGATTTCAACATCGTGCTACCAATAGATGCTTTTATCGCCCAAAATTCCGTTCAGTCTTCTCGTTTACATTTCACTTTATCTAATTTACGATTGCGTGATTTGTTGCTTAATAACGTTCTATTTGTATGGAAGTTTCTCTTTGCATTTCCATTTCATCTTGCCAATGGGTCTTCTTCTTTTGTTTAGGCCGCTCCAATTCCAATTCACTGCTCTCAAAGGCTTTATTTAAATTGCTGTGCAAATTGCCCTTGTTGCTGTTGCGACAGCCCAAATTTTCCTGCCTGCCACATATTACAGAGATGGATCTGCCCTGCAATTGCTTTGGATTGTAGATATCAACTGTGGAAGAGCATTTACTTTGATTTTCTCCAGCTGGGCCTGCAGTGGAGCCGGTTTCCGAACATTTATCACATTCATGTTTGCTGATGAAAAGAAATGTAAATTTTTATTATTATTTTAATATTCGGGTAGAGCTTTTTAAAGTTTAATTCATACCTTTTCGATTTTTTACAAGCCACCAGGAATATTAACACCGTTAGTATGACCATAGCTGCCAAAAGACCAGATAGTCCAGCTATCATGGTCATCATTTCATGTGGTTCGCCATCTGATGTTACCTTAGTTACTGTAAAGAAAGATTAAGAGTTTTTTTTAATTAAATATCTATTTATGTAATAAAAAATAATAGTTTTCATTTCAACTTTTCCAACTGTTATCTCTGAAATTTTCTTAAACTACTTTTACCGTTTTACTTTAATCTATTATATAGCCCCGACTATAATTTTAACTTTAAGTTCGACCCTAGCTTTAACTTTAGCCTTCTTGACCGTCTTGACATTATCCTTGACCATATAGTCCAAAGTCTATATATATTATAGTTTCGGCCAGTCTTAACTACTTATAATCTGGACTATAACAGTTTATGTTCTTGTGTATATTTTAGTCCCTATACTCTAGTCCATATCCTTGACTATAATCTAGTCTGGACTTAGTTATTGACTATAGTTTAATCTATAACCAGGTCTAAAGTCTTGGCTAGTCTTGTCTATAGTATGGATCGATAGCTTAGTTTAGTCTCCATATTTTTGGCTATTCCCTTTATTATAATCTAGTCTATGTCTACTAAATATTCTTGACTAGTCTACAGTCTTGACAAATAGCCTACTCTTTAGACTTGACTATATTTTTGACTCTATATATTCTTGTGTTTAATCTAGTTCATAGACTTGTCTAGTCTATAGTTTTGGCTGCAGTATTGTCTGTAGTCTAGTTTTGACAGATAAGATTACATTATTTTATTTAAATTATCCCCTCAAAAAAACAGGAAGTATGTCTAATACTTTAAACATTTCCCAGAAAAAATTAAAATGTTTACACACGTACATAATAAAAGTACGTACAAATTTGAAATTTATTTAAATGTCCGTTATTGCGGTTGGGTTTTTTCTTCAATAAATTTTGACATTATTTGTAAACAATGCATTTAACAATTTCAAAACCCACATCACATATTCACACCTAAAATTATATTAAAGTTGTTTTGGCAACATCAACCAACAACAAAAAAACCTGAGTTGAACAAGTGTCAAGTTGAAGTTCAAAATCACTTTCAAATTAAAGCGAAAAAAAAAAAAAAATAAATAAAAACATTTGTATTGACAATTAGTAGTTGTCAATGAACGCATTTTTAAAATTAAATAAAAAACAAAATAATTTTGCTTGTATCATTTACAAAGGAATAATTACGCATTATTAAGAAGAACAACAACAAATTGTAAATATTTCAATATTAAGGTGTTTTTTGACGAAAATGTGTAGTTAATTAATTTTTTTTTTTATATAATTTATGATTTTATAATTAACAATTACAATTGCTAATATTTTTGTGTGCTCTACTTTAGAGTCAGACAGACTTTTCGAGAGACAGACTCTTCGAATTGAAGTAATTTACAGAATAATTAATTTGGGGAATTTTTGTTCAACCTTGCTAAAGCGGTTTTCTAAAAATTAAATCATGTTTTGAAAATAAAAGTATAAACCCAAATAAAACGGGTTAAAATATTTACAAGAAAACTCATAAGTCGTTGTCAAATGGGGGAAATACATTTTTCCTTTAATGAGCAAATTGTGTTCAATCAATTGGCACAGATTTTCAGCGTAAAAGACAACCAAAAATACTTAAAAAAAAACATTTAAACAGTTCATATTATACAACAAATCACTAATGAGTTAAACAATTAGGAGTTGTTTGTCATATTAGTAATGTTTAAAACATTTAAAACGAAAAAATGTTAAATGTCTTCAGGTTTAAATTTAAATAATTGTTGTTTTATTTCCTGCAAACTTAGATTCTATTTGACTATAACACTGGGCTATGGACTTGACTACAGATTAGACTATACTTAGACTTCACTACAAATTATGCATTCTATAGACCAGACTATAGACTAGACTATAGACGTGACAATAGACTAATTTGTAGACTAAACTATAGACTAGACTATGACTTCTCTATTAACTAGACTACTACACTATAGACTAGACTATAGACTAGACTATAGACTAGACTATAGACTAGACTATAGACTAGACTATAGACTAGACTATAGACTAGACTATAGACTAGACTAGACTATAGACTAGACTATAGACTAGACTATAGACTAGACTATAGACTAGACAATAGACTAGACTATAGACTAGACTATAGACTAGACTATAGACTAGACTATAGACTAGACTATAGACTAGCTAGACTAGACTATAGACTAGACTATAGACTAGACTATAGACTAGACTATAGACTAGACTATAGACTAGACTATAGACTAGACTATAGACTAGACTATAGACTAGACTATAGACTAGACTATAGACTAGACTATAGACTAGACTATAGACTAGACTATAGACTAGACTATAGACTAGACTATAGACTAGACTATAGACTAGACTATAGACTAGACTATTGACTAGACTATAGACTAGACTATAGACTAGACTATAGACTACACTATTGACTAGACTATAGACTAGACTATAGACTAGACCATAGACTAGACTATAGACTATACTATAGACTAGACTATGACTTCTCTATTAACTAGACTGTAGTCTACACTATAGACTAGACTATGACTTCTCTATTAACTAGACTAATACACTATAGACTAGACTGTAGACTATACTATTGACTAGACTATAGACTAGACTATAACCTAGACTATAGACTAGACTATAGACTAGACTATAGACTAGACTATAACCTAGACTATAGACTAGACTATTCATTGTTATTGTTATTCCAATATTCATTATTATTGTATGTCCAATAGACAAAATGTAATAAATACTAATCAACTTTAAAATTGTCTACAGCTGTAAACATTATGTCAAACTACAAACTTCCTGTTTTCTTAAAGATATTAAATAATTACTCAAATCGTAATTATAGGGTGTGCTACTTTGTTTATCACAATTTCAAACTAAAATTGACACATCAATTGTAACACTTGGCAGCTAAACGGAAATGCGTTTTTTCAACCTTGAAATTCACACATCGAACGCATTCTAAATCCAAACCACTTTCAAAATAATTAATGTAAAAATAAAAACAAAAAGCGTAAGTAGTTGCAAAATACAAAATGTTTACACATTATTTTTATAGAAAATTATAGTTATTTTTAGAAATTGTTACAAATAACATTAGCTGCAGTTGGCATATGAAACATTTGCTTTTGTTTAAGATTTTCGTAACTGTGCTAATCGAAAATATCCGTCAGTAAGCGTGAAATTGTCATTTGATTTAATACTTAGTATGTATGTTACTGGGGGTAACATAAGTTGTATGTCTGTAACACTTGAATTAGAATTCACAATTTGTAACACTGTGCCTATGCCGCAATGAAAGTATTTCCCTTATAAATATCTTGTTTACAAATTTTCTTTTTACAAGATATAAATAATTGCAAATAAACAAATATATAATTAAACAACAACACAAATGCACTTCAAAATTGTTTAAAGAAAAACAACAAATTTGTTTATAGTATATTTTTATTTCAGTTTTTGGACACACCTCTTTAAACCTCGAGATACCATAACCCATTTGGCTGATAATTTCGACTTTCAATCATTGGTTACTGTAAGCTATTTGTTAATAATAAATGAAAATATTTTTTACTCATCGACTACATTTTTAAACTTATCAGAAATGTTGAATCATACAATATTTGGGGGAGACTTTTTTTTATCATTATCATAGTTACGTTTTTTGACAATTTGATAAAAATTTAAGAAGTTGTTCTTGATGCACATACATAAATTTAAATTATTTATTTAGAGTATAAAAAGTATGCATAAAAACTCAGTATGAGTTTCTTAACATATGCACATATGTAAATAATGTTCTTTGGTAATACGAAGGTTAATGTGCAAACATCACAACGTCATGCAAAATGATAAATAAAAAAATCACAAAATAGTATTAACAAAAAACATGCAATTTTTGTTGTTATTACTAGTGTATTTTTGTAAATAATGAGTATTTTTTTTTTGTTTATTCATGCACTTTAAAGAGCTGTACGGGTATTAATTTTCAAAAATCATCTGTAACTTCCTGATTTGACTGCGATTTTTTTACAAAAAAATCTTAAAACACACACATTACGGCTGATTGGCATTTTAAACAAATTACTGGCATATAAATTACTAGTTTAATTTTGAAAAAAAAAAACAAATTATTTAACATTATTTAAAGATGTTAAAAATTATATGAAAATAATTTCAATTGACTGATAACGGTTAAATGGTAGAGGAAAATACTAAAACAGTGCTTAGAATAATTATAAGGTTGTATACACAATTTTGAGATTTGTGACTAGACTATAGACTAGACTATAGACTAGACTATATACTAGACTATAGACTAGACTATAGACTAGACTATAGACTATACTCCAGACTAGACTATAGACTAGACTATAGACTAGACTATAGACTAGACTATAGACTAGACTATAGACTAGACTATAGACTAGACTATAGACTAGACTATATACTAGACTATAGACTAGACTATATACTAGACTATAGACTAGACTATAGACTAGACTATATACTAGACTATAGACTAGACTATAGACTAGACTATAGACTAGACTATAGACTAGACTATAGACTAGACTATAGACTAGACTATAGACTAGACTATAGACTAGACTATAGACTAGACTATAGACTAGACTATAGACTAGACTATAGACTAGACTATAGACTAGACTATAGACTAGACTATAGACTAGACTATAGACTAGACTATAGACTAGACTATAGACTAGACTATAGACTAGACTATAGACTAGACTATAGACTAGACTATAGACTAGACTATAGACTAGACTATAGACTAGACTATAGACTAGACTATAGACTAGACTATAGACTAGACTATAGACTAGACTATAGACTAGACTATAGACTAGACTATAGACTAGACTATAGACTAGACTATAGACTAGACTATAGACTAGACTATAGACTAGACTATAGACTAGACTATAGACTAGACTATAGACTATAGACTAGACTATAGACTAGACTATAGACTAGACTATAGACTAAACTATAGACTAGACTATAGACTAGACTAGACTATAGACTAGACTATAGACTAGACTATAGACTAGACTATAGACTAGACTATATACTGAACCATAGACTAGACTTTAGACTAGACTATAGACTTGACTATACTCAAGACTACGGACTAGACTTTAAACGAAAGAATATAGGTTATAGAAACTATAAACTAGTGGATTTATCAATTCATCTAAAATTTTCCATCAAACTAGAATATTCTTAAAATCTTTGTAGTAGAATTTTGGTTTATAAATCTGTAGTACCTTTAAGAAAGCAATGTTATAGAAACGTCTTTTATTTTTTATTATTAAGTCTATTTTCTAAGTATGTTTGTATGTCATTAATATATTATTTTACCGTTAAATAATAAAGATTTTTTTTCAAATCATTCCATTAATTTCAAAATTGATTTAAATACGCGTAAAAGATTTGCTATTAAGATAGCAAAATCTGAGAAATACTACTTCATGAAATTTCTACAATTTTCTTATTAGTCATTCTAATTTAAATGATTAACTGCAAAATCAATTGATTAACCCTTAAACTAATTAAAAAATAAAACAATTAGTTTTCTACATTTGTTTACATTTCTCTCTTTTAAATAAATATAGATTTTAATAAAAACGTCTAAATAAATTAATCAAACTTACTGCATTAATTTATACAAAACGCAAACAGAAAACACAAATGAATATTTAACAGGGAAAATTTAGATTTTTCCGAAAGCAATTAATAAAAACTAAACCAGTGATTATCACATTTAAAAGCAAATTATTTATCTAACGAATAAAAACAATGTAATTAAATAGACACAGATGTAATAAAAAAAATAAATAAATATTCAACCAATAAATTAAATAGTTTCTCTTCAAAAAAAATCCAACACATTTTGCAAATGGAATCAATAAAACAATTGGAGAAATTAAACAAATATTTTTGTTATTTTCTTCTACATATTATAAATAGTAATAGAAAACTGAAAATAGTTTTACACGTGTTTATTAAGTCAATTAAGTAATACGTAACATTGTCAAAGTTAAACTTACTTGAATCCTCAATAACAAAACGTTTGGTATTTGAAGTTTTCAAAACAAAAGGTGATGACTCCATAATTCTCCAAAAAGTATCTAATAATAGTTATTGATAAAGTATTGTAATTGTTAAAAGGCAAGATAATGTTGTTAAGAAGTTCAAAAGGTAACAGATTCGATTCAAATCGAGTTTTTTCTTCTTTTAATCAATTAATTGATTGTTCCTCATTATATGGTGTAACAAACAAACTGCAAATATACAAAAATAAATAATAATTAATATTTAATTAAATTCTATGAAATAAAATAAAGTTATTGATGTAATAAAATTAATATATTTCATCACTACCTCACAGCCCTCATATATGAACCTTTTACTTAACTTAAGTCGACCTAATTTTTATACTAATAGTTAGTTTTTTAATTATACTAAATATTTCAAATAAAAATCTTGTTTAAATATTTTCTACAACTTCTTATTTGTAACAAACCTTATGATAATTCATTATTTCCTTTGTATTTTATGTCTCATTAAAAATATATTATTTAAAATTTATTGAGTAAATCGTTTCAGGTGAACTTATCAAATCAAATAAAAAAGGTCTTAAGTTGCAGTTTTTTTATATAGTACATGTTTGCGAGTGTGTACTACTACTATCTTTAGAGCAGAGTATTGTCTAGTCTTTAGTAGAGAATATATGTATATTATTATGGAAACTGTTGTCGAAACTATAGTCACAGTAGTTTAGTCCATAGTCGAGAAAACAGTCTATTTTATAGTCTAGAAAATTAGATCGTCTATAGTAGAGATTATTATGTTGTCTGTAGTCGAGACTATATATTTTCTAGTCTATAGTGGAGACATTTGTCTAGTTTATAGTCGTTGCTATACATAGTCTATAGTTGAGACTGGATTCTAACTTATAGTTGAGACTATTGTCAAGTCTTTAATGGAGACTATATTATATGTATATGTATTTACATATATAATATAGGCTTGTCGAGACTGTAATTTAGTCCATAGTCGAAAATATAGTATAGTATATATTTAAAATATTGTGCCGTCATTTATATAGTTGGGTAAACTTTAGAGTTGAACCTATTGTCTAGTCTATAGTATAATAGAGACTACTGTCGAGACTATAGTTTATACTATAATTTAGTCCATATTTGTGATTATTGTGAGGTCTATAGTCTACACGCAGAGAAAAAACATGGTTCAAAATGGTTACTACAACTATCCCATGTTTACTGTAACAATATATTGTTTTCAAAAACATATAATTGTTATTTTAATTAGATTTTAACAATATTTAAGTTACTCTAAACATTTTCATGTTCCAGGCAATTATAAATTTGAGTATAATTCACTGAATCATAATTATTTTTACAACAACTAAATACTGATAACAAGGAAAACATATTCTGTTATTAACAGCCATTTAAACTTGCAAATAACCATAATATGTTATGTTATATAACCATTGTATGTTATGTTGTTATAAAAAACAATTATATGTTATGTTGTTATATGTCTGCTGATACATCAACAAATTAATACAACAACAAAACAACTTTTGCTCACAGAGATTACTTTTTCGTGTGTGTTTTTTACGCGACAATAAAATGAATAATTCTCATTTGGTTTATAGCATTAAATGTATAAGTATTTCAGTTTGCATAGAATAATGTAGTTATGTTTTTGTGAATCAAATTGAAATTTGCGAAGTGTGCTAAGTATTGTAAGTATGTAATCTTTATTTATATATATATATATATTTTTTTTTTACTTTTTTTAGAAACTGTAATTTTACTGCTTCAGTAAAATTTATTTTGATTTCGATACATAGTTTTGAATGAAATTTTGAACACATTGGATCATAATATGATCATGTATAACAATATTATTATGATAAATAGAAAAATATTATGATGAAATAATTTTAACGGTATTTAATCATAATATGATATTTTAAATTTGTTACAATAACGGTATTATGTTAAGACTACAATCATAATTTTAACCATAATATGTTGCTCTTGGAACATGGTTACCACAACCATGTTTTTTCTCTGCGTGTATACTATTATCTCGTCTGTAGTCGAGACTACTTTCAAGTCTATATTAGAGACATTTGTTAGTTTACAGTCGGGTGTAAATCTAGTCTAGAGTAGAGACTATAGTCCTGCCTATAGATGACTGTAGTCTAACCTATACTTGAGATTATTATCTACTGTATACTCTAAAGGGAGACTGTATCGAGACTATAGTCAAGACTCTAATTTAGTCTGTAAACCAAAATTTAGTCTTATATATAGCCGAGATATGTAATTTTCGAGACTATTAAATCGTCTGATGGATAGACTAATGCCTTGTCTATAGAATCTAATGAAAACTTTTGTGTAGTTTATATATCTATAGTCGAGACTATAATACCACAGTCGAGAATATTGTCTCATTTGTAGTGGAGATGAATGTCTAGTATTTAGTCATGACTGTAATCTATCCCATAAATAGACTATAGTCGAGACTATTGTCTTATCTGTAGTAGAGACGATAGACTAGTGTATAGTCGATAATACTTGATCGACTATTATCGAGACTAATATATCGGCTATAGTCGAGAATACTGTATAGCCTATAGTGTAGGCTTTTGTCTACTTTATAGTTGTCGCTAAAATGTAGTCTATAGTCGAGACTATAAACTATTCTATAGTTCAGACTATCAGAACTATAGACTATTGTCTCATCTGTAGTCCATACGATTATATCGTTTGTAGTCGAGATTACTCTCTAGTGAAAACTATTGTTTTGATAGTCTAACCTATAGTTGAGACTGTAGTATATCCTATAGTCGAGACTATAGTCTGTAGTACAGACTTTATTCTATAATGGAGGCTTATGTCTCGCCAATATTCAAGACTTTTGTCTAGTGTACAGTAGAAACAATCTTCTGTAATGAAGACTGTTTGAGGGACTTTATTCAGGATCGCAATTTATTATACGTTCTAGTCTATAGTCGAGAATATTGTTATAAATTAGTTCATAATCTAGTCCATAGTCAAGAATATTTTCTCGCCTAAAGTAGAGTCTATTATCTCGTTTGTAGCCGAGACTACTGCCTAGTCTATAATCGAGACTATATATTAAATCTGTCATCTAACCTGTAGTCGAGGCTATTGTCTTGTCTATAGTCGAAACTACAGCATCTATAATCTAGTTTAGTTTAAATAATTTTTTTAATATTTCCACTTAAGACCTTTTATACTGAACAATTTCTAGCATTAATTCAAATTAATTTTATATGTAAATATTTTTTAGAGCATTTAGATATTATAATTAAACAGCCACTTAAATTAAACGCCTTTTTTCACAAACAATAAAATGTAATATTAATAAAATAATAATTTATGAAGAAAATAGCCATAAATGAATATTTATTAATAACAATTATTGAAGAATAAGAAGGAGTGTAGTAAATCTATAAAACGTGCAGGTAATACTACAGAATTTTAGGAGTTTTTAAAACTACTTAGTTAATAATAATATTTGTATGATTTTTTTTGTTTAAGATTAAAAAAAATCTATAAAACTAATTTACTACAAAAACTAAATGTATGAATTTTTGTAGCAAATTATTATCAATTATCACTTTGAATTTTGCGACAGCAGCTATAAATATTATTAAATAATAAAATTTAATAAGTGTAATCAAAATTTTATGTTAAATTTGATTTATTTCATTTATTTAGTTTAATTCCTTTAATGAGTTTTAATAAACGTTGTTGCTACTGCAGTGAAAACAAAATATTTATTTAAATCAAATATGTTTTTTTTTTTCTATTTTTATAAAAATTTTTGTTTGTCAGTTCCTTTAATTAAAATAATCTAAAGATTAGCATGCATACACTCACTTAAAAAATGTTGGTAAAATTTATAAAAAAAAAGGCAAATTTTTAATAATTGTTTACAGTGTACTAGTGCGGTAACTAGTTAAAAAAGGTCTTATCACTTAATTAGTTAAAATTGAAATTATATAAAATTTGCTTTAAATCAGTATAGAACTAGTCACGTGACCAGATGTGTTTTATTTTTTCTAGTATTAAAAGTCATTTATTTACAATGTTTTATATTAAATTTCAAATCTCTAAACAAGACTTTTGAAACATTTATTTTTTTAATTAAAAAATTATTTTTTTGTACAAATTTTGTTAACATTTTTAGATTATTTAATTATATAATAATTATTATTTAATTTTTTATTCAAATTCTGCATTTTCAGTTTGAATATTTAAAAATTCAAATTTCAATTCTTTTTATAAAAATGTTTTATTTATTTTTAAAAAATATTTTTATTTTTTGTTTTTGCTTTTTCTTTAAATTTCAATATTTATAATTTTAATATTTCAAGATTTTTTTACATTCTTTTAATTCGTTTTCGTTTCGTGCAATATTCAAAATAAGAGTTAGTCAGTTTTGATTATAATCCTTTGAAAAATAAACTGTTTTTAAGATTTATTTTTTAATTGTACAAAAATTTGCTTATTTTTTTATTATTTTCTAATTTTTATTTAAAAAAAAAATAATATTTTTTTTAATTAATCAGATTATTTTTCAATAAATTTTATATTTAAAAAAAATTGTTTTCACTTTTAAATTTATATTTTCTTAAATAAAATATTAAAATAAATTAATTTATTACTTTGTTTTATATATAAAGTCAATATTTTTTTTATTTTATTAATATAAATATATTTTATTATATTATTTTGTTTCAATTGAAAACGAACTTTAACTCTGGACAACTAGTGATCGACTAAAAGTTTTCAAAAGAAAAACATTCAGTTACAGTTGTTTAGATTTGTATTTTATACTTTTATTTTTCCATGTTTTTTCGCTGCTTTCAATTTTTTTTGAGTAAAGAAGTCAAAAACTCAGTTCGTCTTTCTGTCTAGCTTTGTTACTTGTAGACTACTACGAGGTACAATAGATACGATACGCTGCGATACGTAGTACAAGTTGAACATGAATTGTATTGAATGTTTTCGTAATAAAGAGCAGGCGTGGGTAAGTAGAGGCAGTAAATATCAACATGTTTGTTGTTATTTAAAATGTTTTATACTTAATAAAAAAGTACAGTGAACCTGCGATAATAACCTCTGCGAAATTGTCAAGATTTTTGGGGAATTACTCTCAAATATTTCATCATTCGAATCATTTATGAAATTTTGTTTTGGTCTTAGATCCT